CACACACACACACACACACACACACACACACACACACACACACACACCTCCCACTCCCAAAACACACACACACACACGTCTGAACCTGCTTTTATTCCTTCAAAGACAGCTCAGGTTATCTGAGACTGCAACTAAGCCCCAACTAGGCTAGAAACTTCTGGAGCTTTCCTAGGCATGCAGTTGGCACTCATCAGATGCTTGCTGGAATGCTGGGAGCTGTGTGCTCCCAACACCAAGACATGGAAGAGACAGTTCCATATAATGGGGTACTTTGTAGTCACTAAAAATTAAGGAGGCAGAATTCCGTGTTGACATGGAAAAATACCCACGATAATTGTTAATAGAATATAAACTAGGTTATAAACAAAGCTGTGTAGAGGGATCCCATGTTTGTAGACTACACATAATGCAGTATATGTGTGTATATATATATTTATGAATAAAAATGTTTGAAAGGACATAGATCAATTAACACCCTAAGGGTGGAATTATATGTAATTATATGTAATTTTCCTTCTTGGCTTATGTTTGTATTTGCCTGTAAGCAGGGTTTTATTTAAAAATTAAATTGTATTTTTTGAATAGGTAATATGCACTTGGCATCAAATTTAAGGGGAACAAACAGTAAAGAGAGTAAAACTCTCTCCCTGTCCCCCAACCACCCAATTTCTGCTTCTCAGAGGTAACCCCTCGTTGTATATAAATCCAGAGCTATTCTTAAATGAGAAAAAGAACATAAATTTCCATTTTGAGGAAAACAGAGTTAGTGCCCCCAACACCCCTCAGTTCCTGAAGGGTACAATTGGTCCAGTTCTGATCCAGGGAAGAAAAAGGCAGTGGCTGGAGATCCAGGGCGTGGGTGTGGGTCAGACATTGCTCTCTTAAGGCCAGGGGCTGGGCGGCAGGATGGAGTTGATGGGGTGTGGATGGCTCCTTCTGGATTTCTGGGACCCTCCCCAGTCCCTGGCCGACCAGGGACTTCCCCCAGTCTCACCTCCCTTCCACACAAGACACACCCTTCACAAAACAGACTCCATCGGTGAAAGCCACACCAAGCCTCGTCCCCTGAATCCAAGCAAGAGACACTCACTCTGAAAAATGGAGAACGCTAAAAACTGATCGCGAAACTTCTGATAAATCAGTCCGTTAGGCCTGCAGAGAAGCGGGGGGAAAAGCAAAGATGAGCCCCCGCTCTGAAATCATTTGTTCATCCCCACCCCATCTCTGTTCCAACCAGGAGAGAAAAGAAGATTTAAAACCCAATTCTACCTTCTTTATCGCCATGTCCCTGGGGCTGGACCAGGTAATTTCCATCACTGCTTTAATCCATTCTACAACCAGGGGAGTGCAGGCAGGCATCTTGAAGCCTAAATTCCCACCGATTACCCCTAACCCTCCATCAGTCACAGCCTCGTCCCTGTGCTTGTTCTGTCCAGACTCGCTTGCTGTCACCCCGGCCAGGAGGCAGACAGGACGTTCCTCAGAGAAGTCCCCAGCCGACTTGGGGTGTCCCTGCAACCCCGTCGTAAGCTCACGCTTTACGTCATGGCCCAGATGTCAGGCCATAAGGCCCCTGCATCTGGACCCCTCAGCCACCACCAGTGCTCAATTCACTGGCTCCTTGGGGAGAGTGAGCAGAGGCCCTGGGGCACAGCGGGGGACACTCACCAGGTCAGCATCACTCCAGACAGGAACGTGGACACGTAGTGGTGAGACACCCACCAGCCTTTGATTCTTAAAAGAAGAGAAGGAAAAGGAGCTCAGGCCGGGAGAGAAACGCAAGTGTCTCCCTGCTTCCCAGCCTGTGTCTGCGGGGGGGTGCCCTGTGACCCAGAGACAGCTCCTTGGAGGAAGAAACGTACCCACGCCAGGACTTCTCTCTTTCTGTCCAACAAGATGCACAATCACACAGAGACCCAGAGAGGCACTCGGGCCTCCAGCAGCTTCCCACTACCCTCAGAACACATCCCTAACCTCCTCATGACCCCAAGCCCCGCCTCCCCGTCCCCCTTCCCCCCACCCTAAGAGGCTCCAAGCATCCTTTTCTTTGAATCTGCCAGGCCCATTGCTACCTCGAGGTCTATTATGGGCTGAATTGTGTCCCCCCGCAAATTCCTACGTTGAAGTCCTAACCCCAGTACCTTAAAATGTGAGTATATTTGGAGACAGGGCCTTTAAAGAGGTAATTAAGGTTAAATGAGGTCATAAGGGTGGGGCCCTAATCCAACAGGGCTGGTGTCCTTAGAAGCAGAGGAAGAGACACCAGGGGTGAGCGGTCTCAGGAGAAACCAATCCTGCTGGCACCTTGATCTTGACTTCTAGCCTCCAGAGTCGTGAGAAAATAAATTTTTGTTGTTCCAAGTCCCTTAGTCTGTAGTATCTTTTCATGGCAGCCCGAGCAGACTAACAAAGTCTTTGAACTTGTTGTCCTCTCTGCTCCAAGACCTTGGCCTGCCTGGCTCCTGGTCCAAGTTCAAATTTCGGACCAACTGTCACCTCCTCCAAGAGGCCTTCCCTGACCACCTTATCTAAAACAGCTAGACAGGGGCAGAACAGGAATAAAGACGCAGACGTAGAGAATGGACTTGAGGACACGGGGAGGGGGAAGGTTAAGCTGGGACGAAGTGAGAGAGTAGCATTGACATATATACACTACCAAATGTAAAATTGATAGCTAGTGGGAAGCAGACGCATAGCACAGGGAGATCAGCTCGGTGCTTTGTGACCACCTAGAGGGGTGGGATAGAGAGGGTGGGAGGGAGACGCAAGAGGGAGGGGATATGGGGAATATGTATATGTATGGCTGATTCACTCTGTTATAAAGCAGAAACTAACACACCATTGTAAAGCAATTATACTCCAATAAAGATGTTAAAAATAAATAAATAAAACAGCTAGACAGCCCCGATCTGTAACACACTACCCTGCTTCATTTTCTTCATGGTGCTCGCGCTATCTGAAATTATTTTCTTCTCATTTGTTTTCTGAACCCCGTTCCCTGCTCAAAAGAGCAGGGATTTTGTCTGTTCATCTGTGACACCTGGCTCAGAGCAGGTGCTCAGTAAGCGTGTTGAATAAACACAGAACACTCGCACACGTTTATGCAGAGCTGTAGCTACCTACGTTACCCCACACAGATGCAGAAAGACAACGGGCTGTACACGCTGCATCTCGCACCATCCCCGACGCAGCTTCTCTCTGGGAGCCCCATGCCCTAGGCTCATCTGCTCCTCCGTCTACAGCAGGCCCTCGCCCCAGTCAGTCCAGAAGCTGCGGGAACCGTGCCGTCAGAGCCCAGCGGTCCCCCAGCTCAGGGCTCTCACTCCACAGCAGGACAGGGAGCCTGGCTGTCACCCGCTCCGCAGTGTCACAGGCAGCCCTTATCCTTCGAAGTCCCCGAGTGTTTCAGGCCTCTGCTGGGCTCCCCGGCCCCTCTCCAGGAGCTCAGTTATCGGAACATGATGTGGCAGCAATCTGCCCTGTCAAATGCACCCTGGGATGCCAGGAATTGGGACCCCCGAGGCATCCACGTGGGAGTAGCACTCAACCTTTGTCTTTCCAGAACTCTCTCGGGAGAGAACTGGAGTGCAGCCAAGTGGGGAGATGGGGTCCAGGGCGCTCCTGCTCACCAAACGGTGGCACCTGAGGGTCTGCTGGTTTGGGGGACGAGCTGCTGGATTAGACTTTTCTTTGGAACTAAAATCATCCTGCAACTTGCTTTCTTGTCTCGACTCCCAGGCAGCTATCTGTGGACCCGTCACTGACTTCTTAAATGCGACACGACATTTCAGGATGTGGCTCTACCGTTCCTGAAATGTTGCTATCATGCTCCATGATGCCACGACACACTGTGGACGCCCCCCGTGCGATGACGCTGTTTCTCCACGGCAGCTACCAGGAAGTACGCAGGATGGCTGGGTCGGTGGGCACGTGCGTGGTTACTTCTCAAATTACCCTCCAAAACGGCTATCCCCATTTACACTCCCATCCTCAGTAGAGCCTGTCGAGCTCCCCAAACCCTCACCAATGCTGGATACCCAGTTTTAAAATTTCTCCCAGTCTTATTATGTGATGATTGGTGTGTCGTGGAGGCTTTAATCTGCATTGTCCTCATAAGTGGATCTGACTGCTCTTAAAACCTTACAGCCCGAACACAGACATCATAAAAGCAGGAACAGCATCTTACCCCTGTCTTCTCTTTGCAGCCCTTCAACAGTTCTGGCCATTAAAATAAAAAGAAAGAAAGAAATGAAAGGGACCTCCCTGGCGGTCCAGTGGTTAAGACTCTGTGCTTCCAATGCAGGGGGCGTGGGTTCGATCCCTAGTCAAGGAACTAAGATCCCACATGCTGCAGGGTGTGGCAAAAAAAAAAAAAAAAAAAGAAGTTCTGGCCATAAACTGGGGGTTAAGGCGATGGCCTGTGGATGCCTGAGGGGCTGTGCTGAGGAGCAAGGTTTTAGGTGGCTCTTTATTCCCAGCACTAACAGCATCAGGTAAACAGTAGGTACTCAAGAAATGTTGAAACGAAAAAAGTGATGTCCAGGAGGTGCAGCTGGTCTAGATGCCACCAGCACAGAGGTGACAGGAGACTGATGCAGGTGCCACGGGAGTTCACGGGACAGGATGAGACATCCGTCCACTTGTTTGTTCCCAGTCTCCCCTTCCCTGTGTCCCTGTCTTGCCCGTCAAGAGTCTACAAGGACCCCTGGCTCTAATTTTCTGACTGAAAACACAGCTGGCCCCATCCTTAGCCTTTCAGCTTGAAGAGCTACCAAGAAGTTTCTGCAAGCCCCGGAGGCCTGGCAAGCCCCACTGTCCTTTGTCCTACCCCGCAAAGGTCCCTTGAGAAATGCCCTCTCTGTACGGGAACGGCTGGAGGCAGACACAGGCTCTGGGCCACAAGCTTGCCTGGGCAGCAGCTTTTAATTTCACAGCTCACTGTGCCCAGAGCCCAGCGCTGACAGATGCCACCAATAAACACAGCTCAGCGGCACTGGGAGAGGCTAAAAATGGCCTCTTCCCCAGCGTGCACTCAGCAGCCCCATGGTCCATCTGCACACCCCAGGGTTCTGGGCTGGTTTCATTCACATGTGTCTATATAACAGTGTTACTGTGATGTCATTCAGACACTGTACAATTCACCCATTTAAAGTATACAACTCAGTGGTTTTCAGTATATTCAAAGAGTTGTGCAAACACGACCACAATCAGTTTTAGGACATTTTGTATCACCCGTATCACCCCGGACAGACTGCACCCGTTAACAGTCACCCTCTGGCCCGTTCTGCCACAGAAACGAAGCCTGCAGGAGCCTGTGGGCTTTTTAAATGAGCAAACGGTAGATGCCCCAGGAAGGGTGGCACACTGCATGGCCAGCATGTAGGGACAGCATGTCCTGGTATCTAGGGATTGTGGCCGGAGAGCTCCCTTCAGGGCCCTTCAGCCATGTTTGCATGTGTGCATAAGATCTGGGCACCAGTCACTATTCAACCCCTGGCTGGCTTTGAGCTTCGGGTCAATCTGGGCGGCTGCGGGAATGGCTTCTACGCGGAGGCACCCTCTTGTCCCTGCCACCCCTACACCTCTGTATCCTAGGAAAGGCCCTTATAAAAACCCATCAGATCTAGGCATTGGTGGGTTGGCTTGCCAGAAAAGCCAGCGTGATTCCTGATTCATTATTCATTCTGGCCCGGAACTAGGGCAGAGGACATCTGTTTTGCCTGCCTGTCAATCACTCCCTATTCTGGTTCTCCCCCTTATCGTTCCTTCGGGGAATCACCTCACCCCCACACTCAGTCTGGGTGGCTCAGTGGAGCTAAGATAACTGGGCACATCACCCAGAGCCAGCCAATCAGGGCTCTGCATCCCTCCAGCCACAGTGATTGGGGCAGGGATGAGCATGTGACCTGCACCTAGCCAACTGGAAGTCTGTCTCAAGATCACCCCTAGGCCAGTAGAGGAAAGATGCTCTTTCCTCTCGGACTGCTGATCTGGTAGAATGCTGGCCTGGGCTGCTGGGAGCCAGTGAAGGAGATAACAGAATAAGGAGAAGGAGGGGGGCTGTTACATTGTTTGAGCCCTTCTGACCTCCTTGAACGATTCATATGCTCCCATAAATACCCCTCATGTTTACTCCTATCAGGTGGTTTTCTGTCATTTGCAAAATTTGCAAGGGAGGTTGACCTGCTTATTACACTAATTGAGCTAATGAGCTACATCTCACATGGGAAGCATCAGACACAAACCAAGGGTGGCTCCAGCCCATGATGGGGGGCACCCTCCCCACACCCCACCTCTCCAGGCCTTCTTCCCCCAATACACCCCTAATTCAGGTCTCGGATGCAACTGGGAGCAGGACGAAAAAGGCCCCGTCAGGCCAAAACTTGGGCAGCAGGCCTCCAGGAAACCCATATGGCTCAGTTCCAGCTGTCTTTCGAACACAGGTATGGCCCCAATGACCTTCCCCTCATTGCAGAGCTTGGGTTCAATTCATTTCTACATAGACCCTGGGGTGTTTACTGGGTATATCGACTGTGAGCTCCAGAGGTAGCCCTGAGACGCTTCAGAAATAAGAAAGGTAGTATTCATACCAATCCGGACCCACTCCCTCTTCCTCACTGTGCTTTCTTGAAAGGGTTTCTTAGCTATTCCCTAATAAGTGCCAAGTGTGAGGGGAAACCTCACAGGCATCTCCCTTGCCCGCCCCCAGGAGAGGAATCAGCTCTGAGAAGGAGCTGGGGGAGGATGGAGGCTAAATACCCAACAGATGTTGAGGATGAGTCACAAGTTTTAATCACCCAGATTCCATCCACCTGCCATGCCTCCCTCCCCCACAAACTGGCCACAACTCCCACAGTCATTCCAGAAAACGAGACACCTTTACGGGCCCACCCCACTCATTCCACACTCCCACCACCAACACATCTGTTGTCCCATCAGAGCACAAGCCCTAGGGAGGCCCCAGAAAAGGCCCCATTAAAGTGTCAGGAAAGTGAGGGGGCTTTGGAACCCCACTTTCCCCCTTCAGCCCTCCTCCCTGTTTTCTGGGTGTGCCCCACACTTGCAGGCACCTCCACTCAGTCCTGCTCCCTCCTCTCGGGGACCACCCCCCCCCCCAACCACATCCACAGAAAAAAGTGACCAGGATAACTCTTACTAAAGTGTTAGTGACTGTTAGAGATGTAGCATGTCCCTGAACACTCTTAATATGAGTCCAGCAGAAGGAGGAAACTCCAAGGCCGACAGCAAGCCCAGGGATGCACAAAGAGAATTAGTAACAAGAAAGCCTGGCCCATTGTCCTGGGCCCATTTCCCCACTATGTACTACTCTGAGTCCCCTCCGACCCCACCCAAAAGCTGGAAGACACTATTCACTACAATTAAGGAAAACTACAAATGTTATTTATTTGGTAAGATTTTCTACTTCAGTGTTTCCCAAAGCATGGGGCATGTACCACCAAGTTTTAGATGGTACCTGAGTGTAACACTAGATGATACTGAACCACGTGGTGAGAAGTCATGTTTTCTGTTCTTTCCATTCTCCTGATTAAGTCAAGGAGAGAGTCTCAGTTAAATGCTAGGACACCTTTAATGCCTCTCGAGATCTGCTCATCTCCCTTTTTACACACATACACACGCTGAAGAGAAACAGCAGGCCTCAGGAAGGAAGATTACTGACTTCAATAAATTAGACAATGAAAATTAAAATCTATTTTTACACTATTTCCTCTTTCCTGCAATTGATGCTGCTTTTCCACGTATGGTGGTGAAATAGTTTCCTTTTAAAATAAATTAATGTTTATTTAAGTAGAAAAAAAAAGGAAGGATGGATTTAAAATGTGAGAAAACTATCATCCAGGTGATATTGGACATGGTAAAAATGGTGTGCATGGGACAAGAATGAATGCAGTTTGAGAAACACTGATCTTTTCTAAAGGGCTACACGCTACAGGGCTGCATACCTAAGAACTGCTGTTCCCCTGGTCCTTACCTCTTGGCTCTACGTTCAGGGTAAGGTCCGGCAGGGCAGGGATATGCCATAAGAGACCACTGGGCAGAGAAGTAAGATGGTGGCAAATTATTTGGGGGTTTGGCAAACACCCCAATCTTAAACACACAGCTCCTGGCCGTTCCTTACAGCCCCCAGGAAGGAGGAAGTGGGGAGGGGTGGGAGGTTGTTACTTTTTGTTTCAGGAAAAACAGGGACAAGAATGGTGTGCAGAGGTTCAAATGGACACCCCCAAAAGGCATCCGACCTGTGGAAAATGGGTCCTGCAAGTGGCAAGTCGTGGATCTTAACTCAGTCCCGAGACTCTCATTGCCCTGTGAGAGGACCATCCACTTTTCTCACCAGAATCCATTCAACCTTCTGGTGACAGTACCCTGATTTTCCTCTGCGAAACCATTCCTCTCCTGACACTCAGCTTCTAGGCTTTCATTGACAGCCCTGGGGGTGGGCACAAGGCTCACAACCAGCCAATCACAGCGGCGCATTCTCTGGCCACAGCGATTGGTTCAGAGATGGGCACGTGATCAGTGAGTGCCAGTAGGACCCAGTGAGACTCTTGGAAGAGAGGAACGTGCCCTATTTTGCTGGGAATGCTAGAAATAAAGATGTGAGCCTGGAGCTGCTGGGGGCTCCTACCTGGAATCTGAGAATAAAAACAGCACAGTAGAAGGCAAAGGTGAGAGACAGAGAGACACGGGGTCCTGATGACATTGTCTGAACACCTGGATTAAGCCTTACCTGAAGTCAGTGCCAATGGACCCATTCCTTGATATGAGAATATAAATTTCCTACTGTGTTAAGAAGTACATTTGAGTTAGGGTTTCTTGTAAGCAAGAGACTAAGCACAGCAAATGAGGTGCAGCAGCCGATACCGTTTTCCTCCTCCCTGGGTCTGAACGGTCATGAATACCCCACCCCCACAAGGAGGACGGGAACGCAAGGCGAGGGTGACAGCCCTCACCTCCGTGACAGATTTCCCTTTGGCTCCCCCATACCCGCCCACAAAGCTGGGCCCCCAATTACCTCGAGCCGTTGCTGATGAGAATACTCTCCCGAATCGTCAGGGTGCAGTAATACCATACCAGCAGGAAGTTAAAGACTTCGTCTGTCACCCTGGCATAGAGAAACAGCGCCCGGGACGGGGGGCAGGCATGAGAACCAGGGACGGCTGTCCCCGCCACCACAGCTGGACAGCAAACCAGGATGAGAACCGCCCACAGAGGCATGCCTCCAGAAACCCCCAGTGACCCCGGGAAGGCGGCGGCGTGTCTTCTCTCCACCTAGAATGCCCATCTCCCCGCTCACCTTTCTACATGAATCCTACCCGCCCTTAAGGCTCTAGCTGAGGTTTCCCCTCCTTCCTTGACCACTCAGCCCACGACAACCTGTTTCCCTTCTAAATTTGACATCTGTCTGATATGAAATTTCTGGTGGGATGACAAGAGAAGGACTTTAAGCAGGAAACCTAATTTGCAATTTTAAACTATCTGCAGTGTTAACTCCAGTGTAAACTCCTTCCATCCCCTTAAACCGTCTGTAAACTTTGCTGCACATACAAAAAGATGAACTTAAGAACTCCCTGGGCTTCCCTCGTGGTACAGTGGTTAAGAATCCTTCTGCCAATGCAGGGGACACGGGTTCGAGCCCTGGTCCGGGAAGATCCCACATGCTGCGGAGCAACAAAGCCTGTGTGCCACAACTACTGAACCCGCGTGCTGCAACTACTGAAGCCCGCGTGCCTAGAGCCCGTGCTCCGCAACGAGAAGCCACTGACTGCAATGAGAAGCCTGCGCACCGCAACGAAGAGTAGCCCCCCCTCGCCGCAACTAGAGAAAGCCCGCGCACAGCAATGAAGACCCAACACAGCCAAAAATAAAATAAATAAATTAAAAAACCCCCCTGCCTCCTCTACGGTGGGCAGAACAGGCCTTAAAGGCAGGCAGAACATGGCAGCTAGAGTCGTGCTGTGCCCTGGTCAGAGGGGAGAGCCTTAGACACGCTGTGCGTGACCTTGACTGGCCTCAACTTTGCCATCTGTACAATGGGAAGGTTGACCCCCTCCATGAGCATTCCTGGGTGAAGGATCCTGGGACAGAGCCAGCAACAGACAGCCCCTCAGAGGGCTCCCCCGCCACTGGCTCTCTCTGACGGGCCCTCGATAAAGACTCTATCTTTGACCCCAACAGGAAGCAGCTCTATACCTCCTGGTGTCACACAGATCCCTTTGTCGTGGGAACAGAAATGACTGCATGGGGAGGGAGAACACCCCCGATCTCCTCCATTCTATCCCTGAACTGGGAGATCCTTTTCCCCAGCTACAAAGGCCCTGGGAGGGAAATGGGAGGATACAACTTTAACAATAATAAAAGACGTTGGGAGACGTCTGGGAGAGTCTGTGAGAATGAAGATGAGAGACTCCTAATTACTTAAATGTGTCCCCAAAGAAGAGATGACAGTTGAGTAGGGCCTTGAAGGTTAAATATACAGAAATGTGCTTTCATTGGTGTTGATAACAACTAAATTTGACCTGTTGAAGTGGATACTTGTACCTATTATGCTCACTTATATTGTTCCACTTTTTATTTATTATTTACTTATTTATTTGTTATCTTTTGGCCATGCCGTGTGAGGCATGTGGGATCTTAATTCCCCGACCAGGGATCGAACCTGCGTGCCCTGCATTGGAAGTGTGAAGTCCTAACCACTGGACCACCAGGGAAGTCCCATGCTCCGCTTTTTATTTTGTAGACAATTATAGCACAAATGCTACATATTGCATAAATGTGTATATTAAAATACCTGTTTAAATCTTAGACCAAATAATCAGTTTGATATACTAAATGCTATCTTTAAAAAAGACATTGGAAGGTGTCTTTTAAGCTATGTGACCCTGTTTCATGGTCACAGATGACAGACTCTCAGCCCTGCTGAACCACTGCCTGCAGAGGTAGTCTCGGGAGGGTCAGGAACAGACTCTGGAGACATGGGGCCCGAGTTCCAATCCAGTCTCTGCCTCTTCCCAGCTGTGGGACCAAGGACAAGTCAGTGATTCTCCCGTGCCGTCACCTCCCCATCTGTAAAGTGGGGAGAGTCACAGCACCTCCCGGGTAAGCTGCTGTGAGCATCAGCTGAATTTAGAACAGTGCCTGCAGCCTAGGAAGAGCCATGGGTGTCCCCTGTCATAATAATTTGGGAAGCACCACAGAGCGCCCAGAGTCCAAGAAATGTGTCTCATATGCCTAACTCTGAGGAAATCAAAGGCCTACTTGACTTGAACAGGAAACGGGGGAGTGAAGATGGCCTCCCGCTGCAGAGGGTCACTTAGATATCTCCAGACAGGAGGCAGCCCGAGAAGCGAGCGGTGGTTACCAGCATAGTTTCCACTGGTCCCTTCCTATATCAGTAAAGAGAGGAGTGAAAATAGTTTTATGGCCCTGGCACGTTAGGGACATACTTGAGGTGCTGGTCTCAGTCTGCCCTGCCAAAGTGTTTGAGTTTCCTGTTGCTGCTGTAACAAATGAGCACATACTTAGTGGCTTAAAGGAACACATTTATTCTATTACAGTCCTGGAGGTCAGAGTCTGAAATAGGTCATCAGGTCAGAGCCGTGTTCCTTCTGGAGGTTCCAGGAGAGAATCCACTTCCTTGCCTTTTCCAGCTTCCAGAGGCCGCCCGCATTCCCTGTCTCATGGCCTCACATCACTCTGACCTCTGCTTCTGTCATCACATCTCCGACTCTGACCCTGCTACCTCCCACTTACTAGGACCCCTGTGATTACACTGGGTCGCCCGGATAATTCAGGAGAATCTCCCCATCTCAAGATTCTTAACTGAATCATCTGCAAAGATCTTCTGCCATGTAAGGTCACGCGTTCGCAGGTTCTGAGGACTGGAACACGCACATCTTTGGGGACCGTTATTCAACCTGACACACTAGGCGAACACTAACTACTGGGAACTTGCAACGCTGCAGGCATTTTACGTGGACGATCTCTCTGGACCCTTGAACAACCCCACAGGGCTGGCTCTCATGGCAGGTGCATGTACCCCACCCATTCCCATCTGCATGGCTTCCAACAGCCGGAACGTGCAACTCCTGGTGCGCCTAGAGGCTTTCTCAGGCCACCAGAGCTCACCCTGCTGGTGCCAGAGGCAGAGCAGGAGGGCAGAGGGATTAACACTCTCTGGAGTCAATCCTTCCTAGACTGACAGCAGTCGGAGGATAAATACCACCTGCTCCTTCGCCCCTCGGGTGGGATAAGTGAGACACATCCTTCGCTGTCCCACAGTTCCCCAGCAGCACTGAACTCCAGGTGCCCACAGGATAACCCTTCCTTGTCTCACTTCCATTCCCCTACCAGTGTTTCCTAGGATCACCTCCCAAATAAACTATGGGCACTCAAATACTTGTCTTGTGGGGGTGGTTTCTTCTGGGGGAACCCAAACTAAGACAGTACTACTTCCCATTTTACAGATGAGGAAACTGAGGTTCAGAGATGAGCTGCCCATCCAGGCCCCCTCGCCTGCCCTATTTTTAACCCACAGAAGGCGTAGTGGGCTAAACAGTGTCCCCCCCCCCAAATTCATATCCACCCAGAACCTCAGAATATGACCTTATTGGGAAATAGGATCTTTGTAAATGTAATTTAGTTAAGATGAGGTCATACTGGGTTACTTTTTTTTGGCCATGCCGCATGGCTTGCAGGATCTTAGTTCCCCGACCAGAGATTGAACCCGGGCCCTTAGCAGTGAAAGCGTGTTGTCTTAACCACTGGACCACCAGGAAATTCCCGAGGTCATACCGGGTTAGGGTGAGCCCTAAATCCAATGACTGTGTCCTCATTAGAAGACCATGAGAGAGACACAGGGACGATAGCCACGTGACGACGGAGGCAGAGGCTGGAGTCAGTCTTAAACCAAGGGAACGCCAAGGACTGCCGGTCACCATCAGAAGCTGGGAGAGGCAAAGGAGGATCCTCCCCTAGAGCCTTCAGGGCGAGCACGGCCCTGACCACTGTGATTTCAACCTTGATTTCAGCCTTCTGGCCTCCAGAACTGTGAGAAAATATATTTCTATTGTTCTAAGCCACACAGCTTGTGGTGCCTTGTTACGACAGCCCCAGGAAATGAATACAGAAAGGGATGGGAGACATGGAAATGCCAGGCCCTCAGTGAGCCTTAGATCTCGACAACACACCACAGGTTTGTCCTTTGAGGGCCCTAGAGGCCCCAGGGCAAGGCAATCTGGTTGCACATCAAGAACTTCTACCCCTTCCAGGGGGCATGTGAGCAGGCGTTACTGGCGTGAGCAGCCTTTGCCCTCCAGGGAAATGCGCCAGGTCTGAGGCAGCAGGCCGCCACGGGCCCAGGGCCTGAAAGAGCCTTTGTTTGGACACTCAAGTGGGCAGACCAGCAACTGGACTCCCAGCCAAGCGCCTGTCAGGAAATAAACCCTTGACACGTGGGCCAAATGCCCAATCCACACTTGGGGAGAAAAGCCAGGGCCAGAGAGAGGAACGAAACCCCCGGGGCAGCGCAGCCTCAGCTCACTGGCCTCGTCCTATGCTAACAGAGCGGCCGGCACTCTCAACCACAATGCTGGGTGCCAGGCACTGGGCAGAGCCACGCACCGTGTTAACACACTGAATTGTCATAACAACCCAGGGAGGCAGGGCCTGGTGTCACCCTCGTTTTACAGATGGGGAGACTGAGGCATCCAGAGGAAGCTGCCCATGGCAACAGCCAGTAAGTTTCAAAGCCAGGATTCAAACATGGGCAGTCTGTGGTCAATCTATTTCCTTCTTTCTTTTCTTCCTTTCTTTTTATTTCCTTCCTTCCTTCCTTCCTTTCTCCCCACCCTACCCCCCACTGCCTTTCTCTTTGTAACTGAGATATAATTCACATACCATAAAATTCACCCTTTTAAAGTATACAACTCAGTGGTTTTCAGTATATTAACAGAGTTGTGCACCCATCACCACTATCTAATTCCAGAACATTCTCACCACTCCAAAATAAAAACCCATGTCGCCCAGAGCAGTCACTCCCCGTTTCCCCTCCCCGCAGCCCCTGACAACCACTAATCGGTTCTCTGTCTCTATGGTATCTGCCTATTCTGGACATTTCATACAAATGGGTTCATACAGTAAGTGACCTTTCGCATCTGGCTTCTTTCACTCAGCATCATGTATTCAAGATTCATCCATGTTATAGCATGTGTCAGTACTTCATGCCTTTTTGTGGCCAAATAGTATTACATTGTATGGGTGGACCACTTGGGCTCTTTCTTAACTACTACGTTAAAAGGTCGCTTCAGCAGCCGTTTAGTAGATACTTGTTGGACAGATGTAGGGCAGACAGGACTGCTATTTCCCATAAGAAATGGTCCTTCCTGGGCTTCCCTGGTGGCACAGTGGTTAAGAATCCGCCTGCCAATGCAGGGGACACGGGTTCGAGCCCTGGTCCTGGAAGATCCCACATGCCGTGGAGCAACTAAACCCGTGCGCCACAACTACTGAGCCTGTGCTCTAGAGCCCGTGAGCCACAACTACTGAAGCCTATGCGCCTAGAGCCCGTGCTCTGCAACAAGAGAAGCCACCGCAATGAGAAGCCCGCGCACCGCAACAAAGAGTAGCCCCCGCTCGCCACAACTAAAGAAAGCCCGCGCGCAGCAACGAAGACCCAACGCAGCCAAAAATAAATATATTTAATTTTTTTAAAAAATGAAAGAAAAAAAAAGAAATGGTCCTTCTTTACCCTACACCTTATCACACCAAAGGCTGTAGATGCAAGAGAGATCTTGGATCCCTCTCTCATGGCCCTCTCCTCACCCCCGTATGCCCACACACACACACCACCACACCCCATCACCTGTAGTGAAGGACAAATCGACATGCCACAGCACCCAGGAGCAGGATGATGGTCAGGTAGAGCTTGAACTTCTCATACTCATCCTTGTAGGCAAATCTGCAGAGACAGACACCCCCAGGAAAGGTCACATAACTATAGCCCACCTGGGGGAAGGACCCTGACCCCGTCAGATCTTGACCTGCTGATCACACTAAGGGAGAGACTTTGAATTAACGGTGATGATTAGTTAGGGAAAGAGGGCCAGTGTGCAAAGCTTCCATGTCCCTGGACTCCTGGTTTAACGTTCCAAGCCTGTGATGGGCAGGAAGCAGAGACAGGGTCTCCTCCCCCGACCAGCTACTTCAGTGGAAAAGCCACGGCTCCATTTCCCCTGGTAACTGATGGATTTGGGGTGGACAGGACTGGACTGCCTACCTCCCAGGAGGAATGTGTGTAACAAGGCGTGGAACGAAGCAGGGGCCATTTCTCATGGGAAAGTGGCAGTCCTGTCCACCCCAGGTATTGACTCTGTGAAAGGAAGGAAGGAAACCTCCCCCAGGTGGTCTACCCAGTGAGGAAGAGACCTCAGAGTCTCGTCCAAAAGACCAAAGCCAGACTCCCAACTGTGAACGTTTTTTTATTTATGCAAAAATACTAGCTTGGTCCCATTTCTCCTGAGTTGCAAGAGCAAGATGCCTAGATTCTGTAAAGCCAAGTGGAGGGTTGTCTGGGATACTTACTTGGCCTGGTTGCTGAGAAGGGTCACATTCACATTGCCGAGAACCAGATTTAAGTAGAGCCTGGAAGGAAAGACCTGTGAGGGTCACCATGTTAACAGCCCCAGGAGTGGTCCCCAACCAAAAATATCCAAGCTTAATAAGCATAGCACTGAGCACCGTATATTAGAAAACAGGGTGCTAAGCTCAGCAGTAAAAGCCTCATGTGGAGCGAGAATGAAAATGATTAAGTAGAGAACGTGACAGCTGTGACATGACCTTCATGACTAACCCATTTCTCCCCATTTCAGCTGGCTTAGAGACCATATTTCCTAGCCTCCCTTGCAGCTAATGTGAGCACGTGACTAAGCTCCAGCCAATGAGGTGAAGGCATGTGTACAGTTTCTAGGTCAATTTAAAAAGGGCTCTTCCTAAGCATACAAATCTTAAGTATACAACATGATGAATTTTTCTATATTTACATATCCATGTAACCAACACCCAGATCAAATAAAATGCTTCTAGCTCCAGGAGGTGCCCTCATGCCCCCTCCCGGTCAGTAAACCGCCCCCCCTGCAAGGATGCCCACTGTTGTGTTAGCTTTCCCTGTTTCTGAAATTCACATAAATGTATACAATGTATTCTCTTTTATGTCTGGATTCTTTCCCTCAATAATAAGTCTGTGAGCTTCATCCACATTGTCTGCATCAGTGGTTCCTTCTTTCCCGTTGTGTATATTATTCTATGGAGTGGAGGTACCACAATGTAATTATTCATTCTACTGTTGGTGAACATTTGACCTGTTTTCAGTTTTTGGCTATTATGAATAGAGCTGCTGTGAATGTTTTTGTTTTTTTTTTTAACTTGAGATATAATTCACATGCCATAGCATTCACACTTTTAAACACTTTTAAAGCATACAATTTAAGATGAATAGATAAAAAAGGATGTGATTGATATATATATATATATATATATATATATGAACAATGGAATACTACTCGGTCATAAAAATGAAATGTCATTGGCAGCAACATGGAAGGACCTAGAGATTATCATACTAAGTGAAGTAAGTCAGACAGAGAAAGACAAATATCATATGATATCACTTATATGTGGAAACTAAAATATGATACAAATGAACTTATTTACAAAACAGAAACAGACTCACAGACATAGAAAACAAACTTATGGTTACCAAAGGGGAAGGGGTGGGAGAGGAATAAATTAGGAGTTTGGGATTAGCAGATACAAACTACTGTATATAAAATAGATAAACAATAAGGTCCTACTGTATAGCACAGGGAACTATATTCAATATCTTGTAATAACCTATAATGGAAAAGAATATGAGAGAATATACAAATGTGTGTGTATAAAAATGAATCACTTTGCTGTACACCAGAAACTAACACAACATTGTAAATCAACTATACTGCAATAAAAAAAAATTATGATTATATTATGTACATATGTGTGTATGTACATATATATTTTCATCCCCCACTCCCTTCTAGAATGTAAGCTTTGAAAGCGCAGAAACTTTGACTTATTCGGAGCTTTATCCACTGTACATAGAATGGTGCTGGGCACAAAGTAGATGCTCATGAAACTTGTTGAATAAAATAAATATTAAAAAAATTTTAAAAAATAAAGTATGCAACTTAGTGGTAATCATTTTGTAATGTACAGAAATATCAACTCACTATGTGTACCTGGAACTAAAAAAAAAAAGAATAAATAATAAAGTGAGCTCATAAAAATTTTTTTAATTAAAAATAAATTATACAATTTAATGGTTTCTGATATATTTATAATGTTGTGCAACCATCAGCATCACCTAATCCCAGAACATTTTCATCACCCCCAAAAGAAAGCCCATACCCACTATCAGCACATTCCCCACTCCCCCCAGCCCCTGGCAACCACTAATCTACATCGCATCTGTATGGATTTGTCTATCCTGGACATTTCGTATAAACGGACTCATGAAATATGTGGCTTTTTGTGTCTAGCTTCCTTGCTGTGAACATTCAGCACTCATTTCCACCATACACACACACACACACACACACACACACACCCAGGAGTGGAATTTCTGGGTCGTATGGTATGTATGTGTTTGGCTTCAGTAGGAAATGGCAAACATTTTTGTAAAAAGGAAAAAGCTAAAAAAAAAAAAAAAAAAAAAAAAAAAAAGGGATCTGCTTGCCCTCTGCTGCCTGACTCTTCCCTGTTTCCTGAAAATGAGATGGTGTGAGCCAGCTTTGGCCATGTAGCTGAGGACAACTCCCCAAGCGGGGGTGAAGTAGTAAGTTGGAAAAGGACCCTGAGTCCCTAGGTGACCTTGGGAGCCCACCACTCTCGGCCTTCAGGAGTCCACTCACCTCTGGACTGTGGTGTGTAAGAGACAAAAACCACGCATGTTTGAGCCATTGTGCCATTAGGCTTCTGTTACAATAGCCTGTACTCTAACACACTAATAAAGGTGCAAATAAAGGGTTATGAGATCTCAGGGGAAGAAGGGTTAATTTCACAGAAGGAGAGAGAGGGGGTTGGAAAGGCTTCACTGAGGTGGTAACATGTGAACTGGGCTTTGAAGGATGAGTAGAAGTTTGAGAGGAGAAAAGGGAACAGGAAAGCCTTCTTTCTAGCTATGAGTAAATTCTAGGGCATTTCCCATCTGGTGTACCTGGAGCAGAGGTGTGAAAAGACCATCCATTTTTCCCACCTAGCATATAGTCCCCACTTCCTAGAAGGGCAGTACAATTTCCCTTCAGAGAATCACTTTTCCCCTAGGCTCTAGGGTAAGGCACATGACCCAGGTTCAGCCAAGGTGGTGCAACTTCCCGATTGGGTCAATAACGATCATGTGACACAATCTAGGCCAATAAGAATCAGTAACAGGACGTTTCCCAGAACTACTAAAGAACAAAGAGGCATTCTCTACTGGATTTGCTAAGTGGGTAGGATGCAAACCCAGAGCTGCTGGGGCTAGCTTGTAGAGAAAGCCTGCCTAAGAATAAAACTCATACACTGGAAAAGAGAGTGAAAAGAAAGCTAAATGAGGGACACAGCCTAACAGTATCATTTGAGCAGCAGGATCCAGCCATACCTATAGATACACCTGGACTTTACAGTTACAAGAGCCAATAAATCCCCTATTTTTAATTAAGCAACTCTGAGTCGGGTTTTCTGTCATTTACAGTCCAAGGACTCCTGACTAATGTAACATGCACAGAGGACTAGAGAGATTGGAGCTGGGAAAGTGGATCTGAGCCACACTCTAAAAGAAGGTTATGCTGTTTCATTCTGTAGAAAGCTATCGCCACCCAAAGCCTAGAGTTTTTAACCAAATACAGCAAAAAAGAAGACAAGAGGAAGGGCTCTGGTAGAAGGCTCTGACTTAGGGCTAGGCCAAACCAGGAAGAAAGTCAGGGTGCTTCCCAGGACGTACTTTTAGCTGCCCACGTCAAGTCATGATACAATACTGTAAGGATCTCTCTCTGGAACAGGGTGGCGGTGATGTCACTTGAGGAAGGAGATGGGACTTCTCTGAAGGAGGAAGATGGAAAGAACACAAGCTCTAGAGTCAGAATGTCTAGTGTTCACACCCTGGCTCAGCCAAACCCGGTCTGAGCCACCTGGGCAAGATATTCCCTAATGTCTCTTCTCTGAACCTTGAAGAATGCAGATTCCTGGACCTGACTCACCAGGTTGTTGAGGATGAAGTGAGTGACATCAGGAGAGCCCCCAGCACGATGCAAGGCATACAGCACGCTCTCCATAAATGTTTGTTCTCTTAAGAGAGAACACCTTTCCTCTGGAGCCCAGGTGGCATCAGGCATGTGGCAGATCCTGGGAACCAGATCTTTCATCTTGTTCCTTGAAAAAGCCCTTCCAGGAATGTCACTACCACACGGGAGGGGCTGAGGTCCCCTCCTGGGTCCATGGAGAGATGTGTAAGGAAGGTTCCTTCTCTTTCCTGCCCTTGTTCCCTCCTTTTCACCTCCAACTCAAGCCCCAACAGGGAGGCAGGAGTCACACAGACCAGGTGCTCCAGGCCGGGGCATCTGCCCACAGCGCTGGGGGTTGGGGAGTAGGTCCCCAGCTCCTACCCGTTCTTCTTGGGCAGGTAGGCCTCCATGTCAAAGAAGACGTTCTGCCGCTCCTTGACGTTGGCGCCCAACTGCTGAATGAGCTCTGCCTCCTCCCGACTGGTGTGGCGCTTGTACCTGTGGTGAGAGGTGTGGGCGTAAAGAGAAGCAGGGGCGTTACACAGACTGCAGGAAGAATCTGGAAACTCTGGGTACCGCCCTCCCATCTTGCCATCGCAATGCTTCTCACAACCTCAGTCCTCCACCTGTATTCTCTGCGTTTGATGCTGACTCCCTGCTAGTCTTGTGACCTTGGGAATGTCCTTCAACCTCTGTGCCTTATTTTCCATACCTCAAACACAGGGATACATCCCATCAGTCTTACCTTATAGACAATATCAATGTGAGAATAAAGTGAATAAGTGCAATGTTAAGCATTTAGAATACCGGACACAAAGTACAAGTTCAATGGATATCTACTGGCAGTACTACTTTCCAGGCTACTCTATAGGAACAACCTGAAGATTACTAAGAGTACAGACAGGAAGGATGCTTTGAAAGTATAATCAGTCAACCAACCAAGGTCTGACTGTTATTCTTTGGTGACACTTAATCTCAAAACCAGGAAAGCAAGTCATAGACACTCTCAGAATAGCAGGGCTCCTTGGTGTAAGAACATAACTCACGGGTCAACCTTCTAACTCAGTGGTTCTCAACTGGGGAAACCTGGGATGAGAGCACTTCCCAAACCATGAAGACACTGTCTGGGAACATTTTGGTTGTCAAGACAGGGGTAGAGGGTTCTACTGGCATCTAGTGGGTAGAAGCCAGGGATGCTGCTAAACGTCTGACCATGCACAGGACAGCCCCCAACAGCAAAGAATTATCAATAGTGCCACGACTGAAAAACCCTAGACAGATGAAAGACTCTTGAGTCCTGTCATCAGTAAGATGTGTTTTTCCAAGGGTGGTGATGTCATTACATGGAACCATCCACACGCTACACCATGATTAACGGGCCTCCATTTCCAAAATGGTCCGTCAAGGATAGGGGTATAATCAGTAACCGTCCCCAAAATTGTCCACCAGGGAAAGGAAGAATTGACCAGGATTCCAGAATTGTCACAAACTCTGGAATGGAGGCCCAGCTAAGTGACCTGGGACGAGCCACTCAGAGCATGTTTTCCTGCCTCCCTAGGGGGGTCACAGTATCCAGCAGACGCGTTCACCTGCAGGGGATGAGAGCACTTCTCAAGCTGTGAAGACACGGGATTAGGAAGTGAACAGGTGATCCTGGCCTCAGGAACTGAACTAAGTCATGAGCTCAAGCATATCCCCACCAGGGATGCCAGACTTCTCACCCCCTCCACCAGAGAGCCCGGTGAGGAGTGAGCTCCCACACCCGTGAGAAGGATACTTGCTATTTACCTGCCCAGTAGGACTTATTAGAACACCCTTCCTCTGGGGAACTATGCCTCATCCTCGCCCCATCCCGTAGGGTTCAAGTAGGGCTGTCCCATCCCCCAGGTCCATAAAGTGAACATATGACCGAGTCTTGTCCAACCAGAGTCTCAATGACTGGTTTGCAGACGGGTACGTGACCAATTCCAGCCAATGGGGATCATGCCCAGAACTTCTGCTGGTGTGGCCGAGCCAGTAGGAAGAAAGGCTGGAGGATAAAAGCCTGGCACTGTTGGTGGTCATCTCAGTGACCATCTCAGCCAAAGTAAAGCCAACCTAGAGGAAGGCAGAATTTAGAGGAAAAAAACAGATTCCTAAAAACACCCTTTGACCCCTGGATCCAGTGATGCCTGAAGCCACTCCTGGTTTTTTCCATTAAAATTTCCATTCTCTGCTCAAGCCAGGCCAGTTTTGAGTTGGGATTCAGGGGAGCCTTTGAGTTGCAGCCAGCCTACCTCTGGAGCGTGCGCTTCAGGTCCTTCAGTCGTGTCTTCTGCTTGCTGATGGAGCTGCTGCACGAAGTCTGGAGTGCGGTCAGCTCCTCCAGCTTCTGCCTGTAGATCCTGTGAATATCCTAAGGGACGGAGCAGCCCAGGTAGCGTGTGCAGGAGGACATAATGGGGTCATTTTTCAGTTTGCTTGTGTCTGGGGATGTGACTACAGCAATCACAGTTTCACAGTTAAGATGATACAACTATGGATACCAAGGGAGAAAGGGGTGGGGTGGGAGGAACTGGGAGACTGGGATAGACACTTACACATTATTGATACTACGTATAAAATAGACAACTGATGGGAACATACTGTAGAGCACAGGGAACTCTACCTACTACACTGTGGTAACCTAAATGGGAGGGAAGTCCAAAAGGGAGGGAATATCTGTATGTGTATGGCTGATTCATTTTGTTGGGCAGTGCAGGCTAATGCCACATTGTAAAGCCACCATACTCCAATAAAATTAATTTTTAAAAAAGAGAGAGGAAAAAAAAGATGATACAACTACACCTATCAAAGATGTGGCTTATAAAACTGGGACTGGATTTGGGGAAGGCAGCACAGCACAGCGCAGCATTTCTGTAATAAGGAACTACTGTTTTTTCCTGCGCAGGTTCCATCCTTCCTGATGGGAACAGCAACCAAATATGCCTTTGAGAGGTCAGCCACCTCTTGTCAAGTTTTAATCCAGATGCTTTGAGTAGAGCTAACAGTTCCCATGCCAAGAGTGGTCATGTGATCCAGGCCTGACCAATCAGTATCCTCCAATCCCCTGGCAACTGATTGGTTCAGAGGTGGACACATGACTCAAACTGAGCCAATGAGAGTCGGCCCTGGGACTTTTACCTAGAAGTATTGGTTTAGTGATGCCTTCTTTCTCCTGGGTTTGCTAATCTGGTAGAAGGTACACCTGGGGCTGCTGAGTGGAGAGAGCCTGCCTAAGAATGAAGCCAAACGGAAAACAGAATTGAGACATGGTAAGAGACAGCATTCTCATAGCACCATTTCAGCCCCTGGAGCTAACCGAGTCTGAATGTAATGCTACCTGATACTCTTAGTTACATGAATTAATAAATTTCTTTCCAGTTAGTCCAGTTTGAGTTGGGTTTTTGATCCTGGCAATGAAGAAAGCTCTTGCTAAGTCAACTAAGAAAAGGATACACCTCTTCCCTTAAAGCCAACCCTCCCTACCCCAGGCACAGTCACTCTAATACACTCAACATCTCATTCCTGGAAATAACCATTCAGGGCCATAAGGCCAGAGGAAATACAAGACACTTCACCCCAATGCAGGGAGAATGGAACACAGTAATTTCTCGACATTGCTGCCACAGCACACCTCCCCCCAAATAATGCCATATACAGGGAAACGACCAGTTTCTTCTAGAGTTTGATAATCTAAGACAAATACCAACAATTTGGAGAAAACAATATGGGGAATGGGGACCATAAAATTAAAAACAATAATGCAATGAACATATTTAAAGTGGCTGTTTGCTTGGGTGGTGGAGAACTGTATTAGCAGAGAGACAGAGAAAAAGAGGACGGTCAGACAGGGAGGCCACAGCCTAAACTCTCATGTCTGTCAAGCAGGTTCCTAGATATGAAGGTTAAACCAGAAAATAAGGAAAAAGTGAAGGCCCAGAAGTGAACAGACAGCAATTCGGAGCCACATGGAAGAACGCCGTGAGCAAGACCCCCTCGGCCCCCAGAAGAGAGGGCTCAGTCCCCTGGACTTACACAGTTTCCTCACTCCTTCCCGGGCCCCAAGAGAGGAAAACTGTGTCTCTTTTTTAATTTAAGTTTTAATTTTTAAATAATCTCAAACTTCCAGGAAATTCCCTGGCAGTCCAGTGGTTAGGATACGGTGCTTCCACTTCAGGGGGCCTGGGTTCGATCCCTGATCAGAGAACTAAGATTCCACAAGCCGCACGACGTGGCCAAAAAATTTTAAATAAAATAAATAATCTCAAACTTCCAAAAGAATTGTAAAAGTACAAAGAACTCCCCTATACCTTTCGCCCAGATTCACCAACTGTTAGCATTATGACATATTTGCTTTATTCCCATGTGTGTGTGCGTTTATGTGTGTTGGGTGTATTCTTTTTCTATATCAGGCGACAGTAAACTACAGCCCACGGGCCAAATCTGGCCCCCTGATTTTGTATGGGCAGTAAGCTAGAAATAATTTTTGCCTGGCTGGAAAAGATCAAAAGAAGAATACTTCGTGACACGTGAAAAGTACATGAAATTGAAACTTCGGGATCCATAAATAAACTTCACTGGAGCACGGTCCTGCCCATTCATTTATATATTGTCTGTGACATCACAGTAGCAGAGCAAGAGTAGTGTGACAGAGACCACATGGCCCGCAAAGCCCAGAATCCTCACTACTTGACCTTCTTGCCAAAAGAGTTTGTCTACTCCTGTTCTAAACCATTTGGGAGTTAGTTGCAGACAACAGGTTTCTTTACTCCTAAGTACTTTAGTGCATATTTCCTAAGGACATGACATTCTCTTATACATTCAGTTATCAAATACAGAAAATATAACTTTGATACAATACAATACTATCACCTCCAATACCATCCAAATTCAAATTCAAATTTGGATGCTAACTATCTCTTGAAGGCAATTTCCCCCCAGACCTGGACCCGATTCAATTTGATGCCCTATATTACTATTCATATCACTTTGGTCTCCTATAGTCTAGACCAGCTTCTCAACTTCCGTCTTTTGTGACATCGGCATTTTTAAAGAGTTCGGTCCAGTTGTTCTGGAGAATGTCCCTCCACCTTGGTTTGTCTGATATTTCCTCATGATTGAATTTTAGTTATGCACCTGGGACAGAAATGCCAGTAAAGTGACGCTGGGCCCTCAGCGTCTCCCATCACGAGGGACGTGGTGTCTGTGATGTTAACTTTGATTGCTTGGGAGAGGTGGTGTCCACCTGTCTTCTCCACTGTACAGTGACCAGCTTTCTACCTGTAATTAATAAGTAATCTGTACAGAGAGAGGCTTCAGTGCCAAAACAGTCCTCAATGTTCAACCAATATCTGCTGGTAACAAAGGAAACCCTCCAGAACTGGACGAGGAGGATGGGGGCAGAGAGACCCCCCAACTAAGCAGCCTCTGAGAATGTGGAGTCTTTGGACTGAGAGTCCCCAGCAATGCCAGCTGGGCCATGCCACCTCCTGGCACTCTTTGGTGTTGGGTCCCACCACAGCACGAGAAGACCAAGACTGAAACATCGGCAGCCCGATGCTTACCAGGCCTTCAGTTTAAATTAATATTTAATTTCACAAGTAAACATGAAGACATCATCCTCGTTAAAAATTAAAACACTGCAGTTATGGCTAGAGTCGGCTTTGAATATACCCCTATCCTGTCTTCTCCCACTTCTCCAGAAGTAACCACTGTTACCAGTTTCTTCTAGATCTTTTTCTACGTATTCTTCCAGACTGTATGTATCTATGTATTTCTATATTCCACATAGACCTATTTCTATATACACACACTTAACTATGTATACATATATATGAAAAATACACACTGTTGCAAAAACTAATTGCCCCTAATACTTATTCTCCTTTGCATCCTTTTAACAACAGGACCCTACTGAGTGATAGCCAGGCACGTGGCTGTCCAGCTACAGACATTTCCCAGCCTCCCTTGCAGCTAGGTGTAGCAATATGACCAAGAGTTAGCCACTGGGTTGCAAGCAGAAGTGATGTAAGTTCTGAACCACATTTTTTTTTTAACCATTACACCTGCCATTTCTAGCTATTCAGTTTTCACATGTCAAGCCAACATTTTCTGCCAAGAATAACTGAACCACATTTTTATAAGGAATGGCTTGCCCTCCACTCTCTCTTTCCCTGGCTGGCAAATGGCAACAATGGATCCAGTTACCTTGAAACCAGAGATGGAAGCCACATAATACAAATGACAAAGCCCACTGTACCCTCCTCAGCCAAACGAACCTGGATCCCGGGTGACCTCATGTGACAGGGCTTCCCACCTGTGACTGTTTTACAACAAGACCACCAAGCCTTTAGCACTCCTCACATGGAGAAGTGGGTTCTCTGTTCCCTCCCATTAAAAGTAGGCTTATGGCTGATTTGACCAATAAAATATGTCGAAATTACCCAAAAAGCAAACAATCTGATTAAAAAATGGGCAGAAGATCTGAATAGACATTTTTCCAAAGAAGCCATACAGATAGCCAACAGGCACATGAAAAGATGCTCAACACTGCTAATCATCAAATAAATGCAAATCAAAACCACAGGGAGATATCATCTCACACCTGTCAGAATGGCTGTCATCAAAAAAGACCACAATTAACAAATGTTGGCGAGGATGTGGAGAAAAGAGAACCCCTGTGCACTGTTGGTGGGAATGTAAATTGGTGCAGCCACTGTGGAAACAGTACGGAGGTTCCTCAAAAAACTAAAAATAAAATAAATAAATAAATAAATAAATAAATAAATAAATAGAACTACCACATGATCCAGCAATTCTACTCCTGGGTATACATCTGAAGAAAATGAAAATACTAATTAAAAAAGATATAGGCACAGCAGCATTATTTACAATAACCAAGATATGGAGGCAATCTAAATGTCCGTCAACAGACAAATGGATAAAGATGTGGTATATATATATATATATACAGTGGAATACTACTCAGCCATAACAAAGAATGAAATTTTGCCATTTTCAACAACATGGATGGACTTGGAGGGTATTATGCTTAGTGAAATAAGTGAGACAGAGAAAGACAAACACGGTATGATATCATTTATATGTGGAATCTTAAAAAAATAAAACTAGTGAATATAACAAGAACAGACTCACAGATACAGAGAACACACTAGTGGTTACCAGTGGGAAGAGAGAAGGGGGAGACGGGCATGATAGGAGTAGGGGATTAAGAGGTACAAACTGCTATGCATAAAATAAATAAGTTACAAGCATATATTCTAGTAGAGAATGGACTTGAGGACACGGGGAGGGGGAAGGGTAAGCTGGGACGAAGTGAGAGAGTGGCATGGACTTATATGTACTACCAAATGT